AACCACGTTCTGTATAAAGCTCGCCCAGGATAGCAAAGATAATTACGCTCAACACCACCACTGTGACCTTTACATACAAAAATGGAAATACTTACAATTTTTTTCTATTGTTTTATTTTAAGGAATTAAAATATAGACCAGTAGAATAGTCAATTTTTATATTTAAGACTCCCAAGTAGGTTTCTTTTACAATTGTTTTAAAGCAATCTCATTATCTGGAGACACGATAGTGTCTCGGCGTTAAGCTAAGCGGTAGCAACACTACCATGCTTTCATTTTATTCAAATTGTCTTTATTTACAAATGACACATAGTAAAAAATGTGTTATTTCTTGCTTCTGATGTCATGATCCAAAACGGCTGTAGTAACTACTCAGGAGTCTTAAAACTTTTCAAGTACAGTGTTAAGATGTCATAAGCTAATCACGAAGCTGTATCTTAAGACATTACTTGAAGCGCTCTTAAAATAAGAACAGACTTACCAGCAATAAAGATAATGAAATACCAGCAATAGAGATAATGTTTGTACCTGATAGCCTGCACCTATGAGAGCTGAAAAGAACATAGCATGACTCGCAGGCCTAAACACGTCTCCGTGCACCTGTTTCCAACCATATTCATCGCCCAAATCTCTCTCCATGTCGTCCATCTCCTCGTCTCTACTATATCTAGCATAATCCTTTCTTAAAGTACGCATCAAAATCATTGAAACAAGCCCGACGAGGAAAATTACCATCATGAAGCTGTTAAAGATGCTAAACCAGTGTATCTAAAAAAAAAAAAATTGTAATTTATATAGTGTATACACTAATACTCTTTGTGTTATTTCTTAGTTAAAAATGTTATACAAACTTACTCTATGTTGAAAAAAGTTAGGATCCAGATACTTGTCGAATCTATCCTCAAATTTGATATTACTCTTCTTCCAATTGATTTCGTAGCTAAAAGGTATACGCGCGCCTTGCACCAGTTTCACTCTGTTGTCACTGGTCAGATTAACATCCACTATTTGCTTACCGTTGTATCCGATATCAAACTTTTTATGCGTCCAAATATAATAGGAATCTGATACTGAAACTCCATCATTGTTTTCCATCTCTCCTACAACACCTGTAACATAATGATTTAGTTGTCTGTACTACTGTCTTGATACACGCAATGAAAAACACTTACCCCATATTGGTAAATCATCAATATACATCTGATACCAATACTGATTCTTTATTGCATATGCAAACGCTTTCTGACTTTCTTCGTTTAAACTTATCTGGCAGTATTCTGTCTTCGAGATATCCTCTGAAACATCCCATTAGATCTTCATGCTTTTATACTTTGTACATTCGTAGAATCCGTTTTCTATAGCTGAATTAATATATACTTTGGAAACTCAAAATAAAATAAGTATATGTTCAATAATTAAAAAAAACAAAAAAAAAACAAAAAATCCAAAATTGTAGTTCAATGTAAAAATAAAAAACAGACCTTTGGTTGAATAATACTGGTTGAACAATTATAGATCTGTTTATGCTGCTTATATTTTTTGCATACAGAACATTCGTTTTCTTTTTTTCCAACCACTGAATGTATTTATCTCATTTTAAGTACAATAATTTTGGGGGATTTCAAGCAACATAAATGAAAAAAATGTTTAAATCATGTCAATTATAAATATACATTAGTCATATGTGCATACCTTTGAATTCAATTTCTAAACCACTGAACTTCAGCTCAATGCCCTGCAGAGCCTCTGCCAGGGTCTCGTGATAATGATTGATAACATTCTTGGTACCTGTACAAAAGGGTAGGGAATAATAAGAGTACGTCTCTTGACGATTGTGGTACGGTCCTACAGTGCTCATCCATAGCACAACCTCATCGCCATCCTCATACTGAAAACAAATAATATATTTATCTTTAAGATACTCTCAATTTCTAGCTGATTTATGTCATATTTCTAAAGCATCAGTTATAGCACGTGGTAAGAGTTGAAGAATGCAATACAATTGAGAAATAGAACTACGTTATAAAATCAAAGTAGAATTCATTGAAGTATAGAATATGATAAGAGAAAAGGATTGAATACAACATAATACAATGGAAATACAGTTAAGTTGGAATTGAGATGGAATTTATCAGTAGTATTTAGGTGCAATGATAAACAGTTTCTATCTGATACAAATTTAAGTAAAGCCGATATTCGTTTTGATATGGTAACTCAATATGAATACAGAGTGAGAGAGAGAGAAGAGAGAAAGATAACATAAAGACATGTCTTCGGCGCGATGTTTGGCCTTTAAATGTCAACAGCAGGCAACCTGACATTCCATGGCTTCCACGCGTATACCTTGCTGGAACGACGTGTCACAGGTAGGCGTCGCCAGGGTATACTCACGATGTGTGTGTGCTCATCGGCGAGGGCCGACAGCACGAAAAGGCCAAGCGCCAGCAAGCAGAGAAACTGCTGTCCTCGACACATGGTTATCAGTTCCTAAACGAGGCGCGCCGACCGGCCGGGCTCCCTTTACGCGTATGCACGAACAAGAGGAGATCCCACGAGTGAGACACGGTGACGGCGAACAATCTCCATATAGATTTCGTAATGTATGCCGTAGTGCAACTTAGCAGCAACAACACAGACGAGGAGACACAGGACACAGCGACGGACGGACACGTATGAAGGATACCGAAATTATGTATTCTGGTACTGGGTACTGGTACTCTGTACACTACGGAGTGCGGTCGCAGATATGTGCTATCACGAGGTCTGTTCTTTTTCGAAGAACTCTGAACTAGTTCTGAACTAGTGTAATAAGTTAAGGGTAAAGTCACTAGATTAATAAAAGGTTTGTTCGCGTAGAGAAAAACCTGAGAGAGGACATGACGGCCCAAAACTGGAGTATTAAGGCTTAA